TTTTTTCTTTCCTTTTTTGACAGAGTAATAACTTTCTTATGCAATATTGTAATTTCATAAGAAAGAAGAAAGAACAACATGTGTTTTTATGAGACATCGTCACGTATTCAGAAGGCTTTTATCATTTATATGAACATATATAAAAATATTAATGACAAATCAAGAAAAACAAGCTGATGAAATCTTGGCATTGCAATCAATATTTGATACTAAATTTCGTCTTCTTCATGACAATACTCATTATGAAGTTTCAATTGACTTTGATCTGATTCAACCATTTCTTCTTCGATGTAATGACAAAACATCGATTATTCATTATTTACCACCATTCTTTCTGATTATTCATTATCATGATGAATATCCAAGTGATTATCCTCCTTCATTTCTTCTTTCATGTTTTCATTTTTCTAAGATATCTTTACAACATCTTTGTCAAAAACTGGATAATTATTCATTTATAAAAGGTGAAGTTTGTGTTTATGATTGGATTGAATTGATTCGTCAGGAAATCAGCAATGAACCGATACTTGACACCAAAATCGATGAACAAATCCATGATCCACGAGCATTAAATGGTTATTTAGCTGAGAATGTCGATCAAATTTATCAATATTTAATTAATTATAACAATGAACAAGAAGAAAAACAATTTCAAAATCGTCTTCAAACTTGTTTAATCTGTACAGATAGTATTCCAGGAATTGATTGTATTCGTCTTCATCGTTGTGGACACTTTTATTGTCAATCATGTTTAAATAATTATGTTCAAATGATACTCAACAATGGTCGATTTGGTGAAAAACTTCTTTGTCCACAAACTCAATGTCAAAAAGCATTACTTCCTAATGAAATTAAACAAATTATTCAAGATGATCAATTATATCAAAGATATGAACGATTAACATTACAACATGCTTTAGAATTAATGAATGATATTATTTGGTGTCCAAGGTTAGTTTTCAAATCAAAAAAGATAAATAATCATTCAAACAATTTTATTTAGATGTCAGTCTGCTGTTCTTACTGGCAGTGGTGCTGATAATTTAGCCATATGTGATCAATGTCATTTTACATTTTGTAAAAAATGTAAAGAATTATTTCATTTTCAAGTCATGTGTCCAAAAGATTATGTCGTTGAACAATTAAGATTACAACGAGAAAAAGAACGTGAAAGAATTCGAAAACAACAAGAAGAAGAACGTGAGCGAATTCAACAAGTACAAGAAAAAGATCGAAAAAGATATGCTAAACAACAAGAAAAAGGTCAAGCGGAATTAGCTCGAATTGAAAAACAACAGAAAACTGCAGGTGAAAGAAGTCTGTCTAAACAACGATATCGTGAAATTGTTCTTGATTTATCGAAAGAAGATAATTTATTAGAAAAAATATTAAATGCTGAACGATTGGAAGCATTGAATACTCAACCATGTCCAAATTGTAATGTAAGAATTGAAAAAAATGGTGGTTGTTCACATATGCATTGTTTAAGATGTGATCATGATTTTACTTGGCATACAGCAGAAGGACCTCGAGATCCTCAGATGACCTCTTTGTTATATCATTCTTCTACAGCTACACCAGTTGAATCTATCAAAGCAAAATTAGTAAAACCATCTGAAGAAATTATCGAAAAGACTCCTTCTGATGAACACAAAGAAGATTCGAAATTATTAATTAATAATCGATCATTTATTGGTTCTGCTATCGTCAAACGAGTCAAAGCATGTCCAAATACTTCATGCCAAAAACTCAATGTTAAAATAGGCGATGATAACTGGATTGTATGTAATGGATGTTTAAAACAATATTGTTTTTCGTGCGTAGAACCCATTAATGGTGTCCAACATTTTCAAAAAAAATGCGATCGTTACACACCGCTTTAAAAACATATTGCTCCCGTGGATCTCAAATCATTATCTTAGATAGACTTTTTTTTATTACTAATAAAATAATCCGATTGTTTAGTGAAACAGAAAGATACTCGCAAACTTATCGTTCATTCAGTCGCCTTTGGTTATCAATATTATTTTTATTTAATTTAAGGATATGTTGAGATCATATTGAGCTAACGAATCTTTTTTAGGTTTCGAATATAAAATGATTTATCCTCAACAGCGTAATTTGATGTGTTCAGCACGAAATTGTTTTGCGTTAGATAAGATAAGAAATGGTTCAGGGTAGAAAATATAATGCTACTCAACAAGATTTCTGACGAAAAAGACAAAAGCACCTAAAAAAAAAGTTAATAGTATTCGCAAATATTTCTTACAAAGTTATATATAGCAATACTACGTAGATTATTTATTCGATGCCTTTGTTTGTTTGTGATTATGCTAGGAGGATATATAAATAGAGATTTGTTATTATGGCCCGTATTTACAACGTACCGTAAGATGAATCACAGTAAAGGAGTTATCCATATGCTGTGTGCGTTCTATATATATATATGTTTTTCACTATAGCTTTTCTTTCGTTCTGTGAGATCATTTTCCTAGTGCGTTCTCTTCGCTTTTTCCCTTTCTTGTCGTCACTTAAATATATTTCCCACTGGATGATATTTATCGTTGGTATATTCCATTATCTCAGATATATATATATATGGTTGTTCCAGTTCTATGGAGGGTGTGATTTCGTTTAGAAATAGTTGTCTTAGAAATAAACATTGTATACACAACAACATTTTTACGGTTATAACACTCGTCACTTTATTTTCATTCGATTTCGTTCTCGTTATATGTACTGCATTTACTAGTGATTCATTCGTTTGTTCTGTATTCATATTATTTTTTTCGATTCTGTGCGTTGCTTTGCTGGTGGTTGCATATGCATAGAAGTTTTTGTTTTTGATTCTCTCATGACAACATTCTTTCTCGTGTATTTCACATTTGTTAGTATTTTTTTTGTTTTAGTCTGTATTTTGTTTTTTTCTTTCTAAAGATATAATGAATATAGTATGATATTGTTATCCTCAAATATTTGTAGATATTTGATTGTTTTTTTAGTACTTTGTCGGTATCCACATCAACATAAAATCTCACAGTCACGAGAAATTTACTTTATTTCCTTTGAAGATAACACACTTTTAATGTATAATGCCTGACAAAATAACTCCATCTCTTCATGCATTACCAGTTGAATTGGTCTATCGTATATTGGACAATCTTGATCCAATAACAATTCTTCTGTCATTTCGCAATGTGTGTGCTAGATTTAATGCCATCTCCGACACTTATCATCGATATCAGGTAGATTTTTTGTTTTTTTCCTATTTGTTCACTGTTACTATTCTCAACACTTGTAATCGATTACTATAAAAAAATGACATGAAAGTATACTAAGAACCGGTGCTAGACTGAAAGAATTATTCACAAAAAATAACTCTACTAGGAATTCAAAAAACTGGATTTGAAATTGCCTTATTCGAATGATAAAAGATTAAAACAATTAATTCACGCACTACAATATAACAGAGTAAGACAAGTTTTATCCATATAGTTTACATATCTGTTATTGTATTGAATACAGACAATCAATACAATCAATCTTCAGATTCGCCAATTCAATAATGATGAAGTACAACGCTTGACAAATCTATTGCAACGTAAAATGGCAAGATAGATTGTCTTTTTTTATCTTTCATATATCAGTCATTATTACCTAATTCAGATGCTCATCACAATCAAATTTCTAACTAACATCCTTTGTGCAAACAGAGTACAGCGTTTTGTTTGTGCTTTGCAGAGTAATCAAGTGAGATAAGTTATCTTCTAAAGTATTGAATACTATTCTCTATTTTCATTTTATACAGACATTTCCCACACGAAATACTCAGCAGAAGGGAATCGATTCAAAATGTACTCAAGATATTGATCATGTCTTTCAGGCTAACACAATGAAAGAATTTTCCTTCTCATAGGTCATTTATCTATGTGCATCACTTACTGTAGATATATTTTCAATTAAACATTGAGAGTAATGATATCCGTGATGAAGGAGCTCAACATCTGGCTCATGCATTACAAAATGGTGTGTTAAGACAAATTTTCTTTTTGCCTCTCAGATATTTATTACTGCTATTCGGTGTAGATAATCACTGTGCTCAATATTCGAGACAACAACATAGGTGCAGCAGGAGCAAAAAATCTGACCGAGGCACTTGAAAATAGTAGAGTGAGGGAGTTGTTTTCCTATCAACTTGGTTTGATACTCTTTCTTGTGGATTTATATAGACACTCGTTGAATTAAATATTGAGAATACTGATATCTGTGATGAAGGAGCTCAACATCTGGCTCATGCATTACAAAACGGTGCGGTAAGGGAAATTTTCTTTTTGCCTCTCAGATATTTATTACTGCTATTCGGTGTAGATAATCACTGCACTCAATATTCAGAACAACAAGATAAGTGCAACAGGAGCAAAATATTTGGCTAAGGCACTGGAGAATAATGAAGTGAAATAGTTTTTTTCCATCAATTTGATCACATATTTACTATTATCATTTGATATAGACACTTATCATGCTCAATTTGAGTGACAACTGGATTTGCGATAAAGGAGCGCAAAAGTTTGCTCGTGTATTGAAAAATAACAAAGTGAGATAAGTTTTCTTTTCGTTAATCCAATTACCATCATTAAATTCGATACAGAAACTGACTACGTTGTATCTTAATCGGAACTGTATTGGTGCTGAAGGCGCAAAAAATCTTGCTGATACGATACAGATTAATAAAGTGCGATAAGTTTTCATCCTATAGGAACACTTATCTAATATTATCATTCAATACAGACACTGATTACGTTCGAAATTTGTGGGGCTCGTACCGGTAACGAAGGTGCACAACATTTCGCTCGCGCGATACAGAACAATACAGTAAGACAGTTTTTTTTCTTATATCATCCTATATCTCTTATCATCAATTAATACAGACAATCATCACCCTCAATTTTATGAAGAACTCGATCGGTACAGAAGGCATCAAGGATCTGGCTCAAGTATTAGAAAATAACATGGCGAGATAGACTCGTTCTTATTGAACTTTTATTACCATTATCGTTGGGTGAAGACACTGACCACACTAAATCTGGAAGAGAACTCTATCGGTGCTGATAGAGTAAAATATCTGTCGCATATATTACAAAAAAATACTATGGCACTCATCACGCTTAATCTTAACAAGAACTCTATCGGAGTAGTTGGTATGCAGTATTTGGCTAAAGCATTACAAAGCAACAAAGTGAGACTCGTTTCTGCGTGATCTATCATATGTTTACCATGGTTATGAAATATAGACACTAACGACTCTACATCTGAATGAAAACTCGATTGGTGTTGACGGAGTAAAGTATTTGGCTGATGCATTACACATTAATCAGGTTAGACTAATTTTATCATAGCCGTTCAGATCGATGTGTATCATTATCATTCACTGCAGAAACTCACTACTCTCAGTCTTCAACGGAATGATATTGGTGAGAAAGGAGCACAACATCTAGCCGAGGCGCTACGAATTAATAGAGTATGACAACTTTTTCTTCATCGATCTCATACTGAGAAATATTATTCAAAACAGACACTCACCACGCTGGATCTATGTACCAACAACATTCGTCTATCAGAGGCACAACATGTTGTCGATTCCTTATAGATTAACAGGGTGAGACAAATTTTCTTTCCATCAATCAAATATTAATCATTAATTATTCCATATAGACACTTTCCGCACTAGACTTGCCATGCAATTCCATTGGTGATATGGAAGCAAAACATCTGAGTAACATATTAAAAGATAACAAAGTGAGTCAACTTTGCATCTTATCGTTCTCATATCGAACATTACCATTCAATACAGACACTTATTCACCTCAATCTTCTTCACAATAAAATTCATTGAATAGATTGACTATTTCTAAAAAATATTAACATAAATGCGTTAACAAGAGTTTCCATATAACGACGATCCCGCATCTGCTTAACCAAGAAATTGCTAAACATTTTATCTTAATTTTATTACTAAAGAAATCTGTTTTTCCTCATTATGTTAAATAGAAAATATAACACGGAAAAAAGAAAGAAGAGACAAATCAAACGAATCAGCTACTTTCGCTGTTGATACTGTCGATCAAACTTCTTAAGAAAAAAATTCTTCAAGATAGTCACAGTTTTTTTTCGCACACAGGAACCTTACAACTTGTCTTCCGAGTTGCATGATTCATCACGAAAAATACAATATGTATACTTGTTTTTCTCGTTCTTCAATTCATTTCATACCGTTAACTTGTTATTCTTAGACGTTTTCTTGAAAATGACTCATTCAATTGATTTTTCCGCCACGTGTATTTTGTTGACAACGGGTATATAATGAGAGGTGGATGTGCGTATTCATTTTATTATTTTAGTTTTCTAAAATGAATAAATGAAACGTTAACAAAGCAGTAGCTTCGATGCTTATGGTGATAAGAAAAGACAAAAATTACAAGGTAAGTAAAAGATATGTATTTTTGCTTCTTGTGATGTGTTGTTTTTCTTCATAGTAATAGTAGATGAAACAAATAACATCGAGTAATACTTTATTTTAGTTTGTCGACTGAAATACATACATACATTGAATATCTTTCCAACGAAGTTATCTATGCGATATTTGAATATCTAGAGTTTCATCATGTTTACGAAGTTTTTTTCAATCTAAATGGACGATTTTGTAATCTTCTTATTAATTCAACCGTTCCAATTAATTAAAGTAAATCTTTCATCCATATCCAAATCAACTTTAGAACGATACAGCAGAGATATTATTTCACAAAATCAACATCGAATATCATTCGTTCGTCTAGCAAATCCTTTCATATACAGTGAAACCTCTGTAATCTGAACACTGTCGGGA